AGAATAGATTGTTATTAATTTTGAATGAATTGTTGTGATAACCTAAATGTATATTTATTAATGAAGGACTAACACATATAATTAAGCCAATCTTATTCATTTTTCTAGCTTGTTAAAACTCAAGTGAACTATTATTAATTTAGTATGAATTATTGTCAAAATCTGAATAGATACTTATAGTTGATGATTGAAAGCACAGGTCTAATAGATTATTGCTTGCCTAGCTTGTTAAATTCATAATGAATTGTTGTTAATTTAGAATGAGTTATTGTTAAAACCCCAATAGATACTAGTTGATGAAATACTAATACATATAATTATACTCATCCTATATACTTTTTTAGCTTGTTAAAACTCGAATAGACTATTATTAATTTAGAATAAGTTATTCAAATAGATGCTTAACTTTGCCTTAACCAACATATGACCATTTAATATAGGAATATCCAACCATGCTAATGTGCCTTGGATGATCCACATCTCAGGGTCAGGCGCTGATGAGCATATTGAACTATCCATATGATTGAGAGCCCTCACAATCCAAGCACAACGACGCAATTATCAGGGTGCGCTCTACCACTGAGCTAATAGCTCATCATGCGGGCCTCCCGCTAGGGGGCTGCTACGCCAAAATCGAGAGAAGCCCAATCCCTCTCTTTCCCTTTATACGTGCCCATGTGTGGCGACATAGGGGCAAAAAAATGGGGATCCTATCAACTTGTTCTGATCTAGGATAATAAGTTTATGAGCTTAGTCTTACTTTACCGTTGAGAAACAAAAGAAGACTTCCATCTCCAAATTGAACTTAGACGTAGCTCGCTTTTGTTTGGGTGTGAAGCAGTGTCAAACCAAAATACCCAACAAGCATTAGCTCTCTTTGAAAAGGAGGTGATCCAACCGCACCTTCCAATATGGCTACCTTATTACGACTTCACTCTAGTCCCTAGCCTTGCCTTCAGCATCCCCCTCCTACAACAATTCTCCCAGTTAAATGATCATGGATGTATAGCATATGATGCTATTATCTGTTTATAACTTTTGATATTTAGTTGAATGTCAGTATACATGAATTTTAAGTTTCTTCGTAGTAAGTGTTGGATGGGAATATAGCATTAGATGAAATGGACGTGGTGAGAATTTTTAAAATTTTTTAATTCATATAATTTTTTTAAAAAAATTATATTACGAAGGTAATATCAGAATTTTGGTAGTAGTTTGGAATATGATGATAAATCATTAGTAGGATTTAGGAAGATATGTTCTTAGGAAGGGCAACTGTGTATGTAGTGGAGGAATTTTTTTAACAAGAAGAACAGCTGGAAATTGAACATTATTGACGTTGGATTTTGGTTATGCTTGATTTATTTTAGTATGAATGGTTATGGAATTATGTCTATTTAGACAGCCAACAAATGAACCTAATGAATTCCAATTTAAAGGGAAGACACTAAATAGATGTACACTAAGACTATGCAAGACCTCGGCTGTTGAATTATTGCTGAACCAATAGTAATGACGGAAAAGTTGAGATTAAAATTTAAAGAAATTAAAATTAGTATCCCATAATCCAAAATAGTGATCAGAATAGCATAAACTCCAAAATGTAGTACAACTACCATGAACAAAGCAGATTATAATAACCAAAATGAATCAGCAAAACATCACTAATGTACACCAAAATCATTTTTCTTTCTTGCTGAAATGTGGATTCTTGGATGAGCTTGAAGTCTGGCGTGGACATGGTCACAATTTCTAAACCATGCTCCTAAGAAACAGAGGGTGCTTCATTCAATCTTTTCTTTCCGTTTGAGTCAGACAGCTTGGAGAGTTCATGAGTATCTAGCTCTAAATTATCATCAACCCTTGTATATTAAAGAGAATTCTTTAATCCTAAAGACTAAGACGGTGTAGACATAACTCCCTGTGAGCATTGAATACTGGAATGGTTTTCCTGAAAGAGGGTTACAATGAAAAATACAGCTATGGTATTTATATGTTACCAAAGACATGATCATAATACAATAGCTTGTATAAATCATTGGCAGGAAGAAAGATAGGAAGAGGATATGATAAACAGTATTTTAAAAAACACAAATGTTACCTCAGAATTGACGTCCTCAGGCGATGAAAGAGACTTTGATAAGCAAAGTAAAAAGGAAATCACACAGATCAGGTTTCAGTGAAACCAATATTTAAACAGATGTGAATAGAAACATTAATTGAATAGATACCTGTCGATCAGAATAGGTGAACATTTCCATAATGCCAGAATCTTCAGAACAGTGAGAAACACTGATTCCAGCTGAACAATGGCGAATGTTAGAATCGGTAAGGACATATTTACTTATTAAAATATGAAAATCTTTAGACCCTCTAAAAATTTCATAAATTATGATTTCCAACCCTATGAACTAAATTTCCTCTCTCCCTTATGAATGTGCTCACCTATTTTCCTTGATAATCTTATTTTGACCTATATTTTTACAATCCATTACATTTCATTATATTTTAATAAGCAAATGTGATCTAAATTTAATCATTACAATCATTTCCCTTCCCACTAATTTGTTGAACTATCTGGGAAAAGAAGCAGGCCTACCCTGAAATAATATTGGGAAACAAAAGTTAAATGGAAAGAACATATTATTCATCAGTGAGAACATAGCAGCAACAAAATTTTCCAGAAAAGCTGGCATCAATCTCTAATTAAAAAAGTCCAAAAAAGTACAGAGAAAGTGGGACTGCTTACCTTACCTCAGGGTAATTGTCTCCATCAATCTTTTGTAATCCCATTATGAGTTCTCGGCCAAACTTTTTAAAGTTCTTCAAACCCTGATAATAGATGTCATAAGAAATAAAAACATTAGTTTGGTAAACAATCCAAAATGCAAATCAATGTGGAGTTCAGCAAAGAAGTTAAGCTGAGATAAACAATTCATAAAGAACTCAGATTTCTGGCTTTTATTTTAAAAAAACCAATTAATAACTAAAAGTTTTTAGAAGTCCCCGCTTCTGTTATCAGGAGGATAGATTTCCCAATCTGTCAACAGGTAGTCAAGCCAAACACGCGAAGCTATTTATTGCAGTTTAGTCTAAAGGTGTTGGAGATGAGTTCTGTTCTCCAACACTGATCACTCAACAATTTCACATCATTTTCCCCCTCAAAGTGAGTGTCTTTATCTTTCATATTCCGAACACGCAGTAAAATTTCTCAAAACCCCTCAATCACAAAAGCATGTGATTGCAGTTTTCTCTCAAGCTATTTATAATTACTGAAAATCATATCAATCTATCGGCATGAATTTGCACTCAGCATGACTTCAAGTTTCTAAATGAAGAAATCAGAAACAGATAATTAAATGAAGTATAATGCTACAAACTTTTGTTTGCATGCATGCAGGGATTTATGAAAATAATTGGGCGCTTCCTTTCTCTTCCATGCAAGAGGATTATGCATAATAGCCACCTACAAGAAACCCTCGTATATATTTAGAGAAACATTTTTTTTAAGAAAGAGTCCTATCTCATTAAACATTTTCATATCTCCCCTCTTCATGCCTCCACTTTGATTTAAGTGGGATTCTTGCGGCCGTGGCCCGTTGCATCTGCATCCTGTGTGAGCAATCTCAGCATCTGAAATCCATTAGGACATATGAAGATGGCTTTGATCATATTTTAGTTAAAGATTCATATTAGAAATTTGAACTTGAATTTTGAAGATAGAGAGGATTGAGAAACGAAACAAATTGACAGGGCAGGGGCCAAAAATGGAAATAATGAGGTGGCATGGAGAAATGTATGGGAGGTTGACCAAATTACAAGAAAGTTATTGCTGCTGTAAAAATCGCGAGCATTAATTTCGAATTTGAAAAAAATGAAGCGAACGCATGATATCGTATAAACAGGAGAGAAGCAACCAATGATAATGTATAAATTGCCTTACACCATAAGTCATCCACCAATAAAAGGAGAGAATTATAATTGAATCAAAATGCAACTAAATAAAATTGACCAATCAGATTGAGAATCCACCAAAATTTGTAGAAATAGTGGATTGATTATTGATTGATTTGAGAAAACATTACAATACTAATAAAATATAATAATAATATTTTATAAACTTAATTTTTTAAAATAAAAGTATAAACTTTTAAAAACAATCCTATACATATTTAACTATTATGCTATAATGTTATTTCAATTTTTTCTCCACTTAAAGAGTAATATTAAAACAATATTATTAATAAAATTTTATTTTCTTAAATTATTTTATATTTTAGGACAATGTAATTCTTTCAAAATTATGTTATAATTTGAAACGGATGAAGTAATATGGACTCAACTCCCCTCTTCCCACCCTCCACTAATCCTTTATCTGATCTAGATGGTAGTCAACATTAAATATTTTAATTTTAATTTTATATTTATTAAAGTAATATTTTTATTAAATTTGATCAACAATGATAGTCCAAATTTAATATGAGTAGTCCAAATTTTATTTTAAAATTTTTTTATAATTTTTATAAATTAATTATTTAGATATACTCATTTAGATTTAAAATTTTTTACTAGAATTTTTTAAAAATTTTTTTAAAAAAGTATATGTTAGAAGATTATCTTTATTTTTAATATTGTATTAACAAAATAAAATTTTTAATAATTATAAAAAAATTAATATAAAACCTACACCGTCTAGAGTAAATACAGGTAATCATTTTATAAATAATTATAATATTAAAATTAAATAATTTATATTAAATTTGAACTGCCTAAATTAGTAATCCAACTAATAGATTAATTTTTTTATAAATTATTAATTTAAAATTAAAATTAAAATTCCAAATTCGTAGAATCCATGTATGTGGGAGCAGATGCTCCTTAGCACACCGGCAAGCCAACTGCTTATGGCAAACGGAGTCAATCAGTCAACGTTGACTCATTTTTTTTACTTGACAATCGACGGTCACTTCACCTTACGGAGCAGAAGAAACAGCCGCAGGGCCATGAACAAAGTTGACCGTCTCTGAGGAAAGGGGATTCAATTCGTCCATTATTGAAATGAATTCCACCAGCGTCGAAGGGGGCAGCTCGTCATCTCGGACGACTCCAGAGTGTGAAGTGTTTCTGAATTACTGTGGCGTCGACGCGTACAATTGTTTCATCTCTCATCTTGACTCTGCTCTTCAACGAAACGGTATATCCACCTCCAACCAATGTCTTCAAAGAGGAGATCTCATTTCACAAGTTCTTCTCAAAGCAATTGAGCAATCCAGGATTTATATTGTTGTCTTCTCCAAACACTACGCTGATTCAACATGGTGCTTGGACGAACTAAGAAAGATCTCTGAGGTAATTTTCGATGGGGAATGCACCATTCTACCAGTTTTTTACCATGTCGATCCATATGAGGTACAAAACCAGTGTGGGAGCTTCAAATTAGCCTTTGATGAACATGAACAAAAGTTCAGTGATAATATAGAGAAGGTACAAAGATGGAGACTAGCCTTGACTCAAATAGCAAAACTCCCTGGTTGCGATGTACGGACTCAGTAAGTAATGATCTATTTTCATGTTTTGGTTTTTATACATACATACATACATACATACATACATATATATATGGAATTATATTGTTCAGTTTGTTCTCTCTCGCTAGATCAGAGTCAGAAGTTGTTGGTAACATCGTTAATGTAATCAGAAGCAAATTGGGTCACATAATGGATGAGACTAGTGTCCAAGACAGCATAATGGCATGCGAAGTGTTTCTGAGTTTCCACGAGGACATTCGCAACGGCTTCATTTCTCATCTTGTTTCAGCTCTTCAACGAAAAGGTCTGTTGACGACCATCGTGGATGACGAAGAAAGGATCCAGAGAGGAGATTCATCCAGTTCGGAAAAGCTACTTATAGCAATCGCTGCATCCCGAATTTGTGTTGTTGTCTTATCTAAAAAATATGCTGCTTCACCACGGTGCTTGGAAGAACTATCATGGATTTGTAATAGAAAGCTTGGTTCAGGATGCATTTGCCCAGTTTTCTACGATGTGCGTTCATCAGATGTAAGACATCAGAAAGGGGATATCGAAGAAGCCTTTGCTAGCCATGAGCAAAGATTTAGTGATGATATGGAGAAGGTACAAAGATGGAGGCTAGCTCTCACTGAAGTAGCAAATCTCTCCGGTTTTGCGGTAGGAAATAAGTAAGTTGTCTTTAATTTCTTGTTCATATATTTTGATTATGTAAATAGACTTTCGTTGCTCCCTTCATTTTCCACTTGTGACTTGTTTTCTTGTTAATATTCCATCTGTGTTTTCTTAGGAGATGACTGTGTTTTTTGCTTTGCTTTTTAAGATCAGAGGCAGAGGTTATCGATTCCATTGTAGAGGAAACGAGAAGATTGATTAGGAAAAGAAGATATCAGAGGACCTGGAAATATGAAGTGTTTCTGAGTTTCAGAGGCGAGGACACTCGAAAAGGTTTCACTGCTCATCTTTTTTCAGCTCTTCAACGAAAAGGTGTATTTGTCTTCAAGGATGACCAACGACTTCAGAAAGGGGATTCCATTTCACAAGAGCTTCTCGAAGCAATTGAGCAATCCAGGATTTGTATTGTTGTCTTCTCCAAACACTACGCTGATTCAACATGGTGCTTGGAAGAACTGACAAAGATCTCTGAGGTAATTTTCGATGGGGGATGCACTGTTTTACCAGTTTTTTACGATGTGGATCCATTTGAGGTACAAACTCAGAGTGGCGGGACTTTTAAAGAATCTTTTGATGCATATGAGCAAAACTTGAGTGATAATATAGAGAAGGTACAAAGATGGAGGCTAGCTCTCACTCAGGTAGCAAATCTCTCTGGTTTTGATGTACGAAATAAGTAAGTAATCTTCTCCAATTTTTGCCCTTGAGATTTTGGACTAGAGGCTTTTAATGCATTTTTTTTCTAATGTCATTTGTAATGTTTTGCTTTCTGAACTTGATTTTTTATATCATTGACTTTTATATAAGAGATATTTTGATATTTTAAAGTCTTAAAATGGTAAAATTTTGTATTTTTTTTTTACAATTTTTTAAAGATAAAAGAGTGTAATTTTGATATTTTTCTTTAAAAAATTATAAAACTCCCCTATTTCAAAACTTTTTTCATGTAGAAATCAATAATCTCTAGAAAAGAGAAAAATGGAGTTGGGAGAACAAGACATCATAAAAAAAAAAAAAATTTAAAAAAGTACATTAGGGCTCCTAGTCCGAGATTTTGTATTTTTATTTCCTTGTTTTCTTAGATGATGATTAATGTTTTTCTTTTCTCCATTTAGATCAGAGATGAAAGTGATTGATAACATTGTTGATAGAGCCATAAGGGAATTGGATCATAGAATCTCAAGTTTGACCGATGATCTTGTTGGGATGCAATCTCGTGTTGAAGCTTTAGAAAACTTTCTAAATTTAGACCCAGATGAAGTTCGATCTGTTGGGCTCTTTGGAATGCCCGGAATAGGGAAGACTACTCTTGCTGCAGTTTTGTTCAACAAGATCTCCTACCAATTTGATGCTTCTTGCTTCCTTCATGATGTAAGTGGAGTCGAACAGCGTTTTGGCATAATCCATTTACAACAACAGCTCCTTTCTGAAACACTACTACGTAAAGATGTGCCTGTGAAAGACCCTTATGTGGGAAGACATATCATTATGATGAGGCTTTCAACCCGTAAAATTCTTGTGGTTGTAGATAACGTTAATAGTATATCACAATTGGACAATTTGGTTGGACAGCCAGACTGGTTTGGTTCAGGGAGTAGAATCATCATTACAACTAGGGATGAGCATATACTATTATCGCGTGGCGTGTATGTATTCAACAGGATCGAACTATTAGAGCATCATGATGCTCTTCAACTTTTTTGCGTAAAAGCTTTCAACTGCGATGATCCCCCGAGTGAGTTTCAAGACTTGGCCAATGCTCTACTTCAACATGCCAAGTGCCTTCCATTAGCAATTAAAGTGTTGGGTTCCCGTTTGTTTATGAAACAAAAATCAGAGTGGAGCGCCGAGTTAGAAAGATTGAAAGAAATTCCTGACAGAGATGTTATGGAAGTTCTTCAAACTAGTTATGATCTACTTGATTACGGGGTAAAAAATGTATTTCTTGATATTGCTTGTTTCTTTAATGGAGCAGACAAGGACCATGTTATGAATATTATGGAGTACTGTGGATTTTATGCTATATATGCAACTCATATTCTCTGTGAACGATCACTCGCAAGCATTGTCAACGGAAAAATCTGGATGCATGATTTGGTGCAAGAACTGGGACAAAAAATTGTTCGAGAAAAATCTCCTCAACATGCCAAAAGAAGTAGGTTGTGGTCATACAAAGATCTCCAATCTGTAAACAAAGTGAGTTGTGTTATCATAATTACATTACGTGCTAAGGTTTATTTGTTTGTCTTACTTTATGGTGTTTTCATTCTTAATTAGGGAACAAAATTTGTCGAAGCTATCGTTCTGAACAAAGGAGAAGTTGAGCAAAAGATTCCATTAATGGCTGAAGTTTTATCAAAAATGACCCGCCTCAGAGTTTTGATACTGCCTGCATTGAAGTTTTCAGGACAATTGAATCATCTTTCCAATGACTTACGATTTCTTTCATGGCAAAAATTTCCTTTCAGCTATTTACCATCAAGTTTTAATCCAAAAAATCTTGTTGAGTTGATCATGCCAGACAGTGATATAAGACACTTGTGGAAAGGGAGAAAGGTATAATACTCTTCTTTTTATTGGGCAAACAACTTAAAATGAGTAATTTGCTATGAGACAAACATAAAAATGGAGCTCATCTCAAAAGCCTAATTTATTAGGTGCGAGAGCCCTTAAAATTTCTAAACTCTTCTTATCCTGTAAGATTCTCCAAAGTGGAACTTATAACATGATCATGTATGTGTGTGTATTGTTGTTTGATGCTTTTCATTTGAATATATCGGATTTTAATTCATGGTTCTAAACGGTCACTCATTAGTAATAATTTTTCCCCCCCTCACCATTTGTCTTTTCAGTGTCTGCCAAGTTTGAGAAGCATAGATCTAAGTGGTTCTAAAAGTCTAGTGGAGACTCTAGATCTTAGTGGTGCAGAGTCTCTTAAGAAAATAAATCTTGAAGGATGTACCGGATTATTGCGGGTTCACCCATCTATTGGAGATCTTCATCAGCTTGAATTCTTGAATCTGAGAAAGTGCACTCATTTGACCAGGATCCCAAACACCATACTTCTTTTACCTTCTCTTGAAACTCTGAACCTCTGTCACTGTTCAAGCCTCCGTGAAATATTTCAAGCGAGGGATTTCTCATCAATGGAAGACGAAGAATAGATCAATCATAATCCCTGCATCTTGAAAGTGTCGATATTGCCACACACACACACACACACAGAGAGAGAGAACCAACTAGAATACTTTGAGCTCAAAATTCACTTCTCTACTTCATCTTCATAAATGAGTCGTATTTATTAGTCTAATTAGTGAATCATCTGTTAGACTCATTTAATTAGCCGTTATTCTTGAGTCTTGATCATTGTGAGTGAAGTAATTAATCGTCAGAAGTTGCTTAATCTTCTCTCATCTACAACGGCATGGCTTTCTCATGAAAGATAGAAGAATATATGTGCTTTCATGTTTAAGGAAAAAAGAAATGAATGGTCACATTTTATTGCCAAATTTTACGTACTCTCTCCAGTTTTTATATAGGACATCTTTTAAAAGAAATTTTTTAATCTTTAATACAAAGCATATGATGGGTTATTTTATGGCTCATTGAATATCTTGTACCTTTCTCTTCCTATTTTTAATAGAGATCGAGTTGAAATATTTTTCATTTTAAAACATGTTTAACGAGTTAAATGTCATTTCTTGATTCCAGTAACATAATTGAAATAATATAATTGAAAGTATCATATAATAGAGATTAAATGGAGTACATTTATAACTCATGGTCTTGAGGTGTTTCTAAATTTGAGAAATATGAACTTTCAGGGCTCCTGAACTTTGATTAGGACACCAGATTTGGGGGAGTTCCAAATCTGGAGAGATTAAACCTTAAAGGATGCATTGCATTGTTACAACTTCATCCATCAATTCCCAAACTTTCAGAGCTCAACTTCTTAAATTTGAGAAACTGCATCAATCTTGCTCAAATCCCCAAAGGCATATTTAGTCTTCCCTCTCTAGAAAATTTAAATATCATTTGCTGTCCAAAATTGAACATTGAAAGTTATGAATAATTTAAACAACCCAGCGATCAATATTGGATCTGTTCTTAAGAAAGATATCATATTTTCATCTCTGTTTCTTTGATCTCTTTCTTTTTCAGCTCCCCCCACTGCTGGTTTTATACTTCTTTGATGTATGAGATCAAAATCATTTTCATATTGAATTAGTACTCATCTTTATATTCATGTTTATGCTTGCTAATTTAACTTATTATTTATCAAGTTCCAATCTTTCTTTTATTTGGTCTGATATGGCTTATTGAGTCTGTTATCAATTTTATAGAATTCCTCATGGGGCAATATGCCTTATTGTAACTATATTATTTACTGGACTTGTGGACTTGTGGTATTTATTTCTAAATTCTAATCAAACAAAATACAATCAATTAATATCATTAGTACTTTAGTTTTTCCCTAGGGTTAGAGATAGTGGTGCTCAACCAACGCACTAGACCTGGTCTTATCAAAGAGATTGAGTTGGTCTAGATGATTGGGTCAGAGTTGGAACCCAAATCCAATTTAACCTAGGGCATATTTATATATATTATTTAAAAATTTTATTAGTGTTTATTAATTTCAAGATTTTTTTCACAGATGATAATCTGATATCTAATAAATTACTTTGTTATTATTATGAAAAATTTTAAGAAATAAATATGATTTTTATTTAAAATTTTAATTTGATTTCCTAACTTAATATTATGAAAGGATAATGTATAATTAGGGACGAAATCTAAAATTAGTGGTAGATTTTGTTTATTAATAATAGATTTGTCCATCAATAATTTCAATGTTTTAACAGTGTACAATTTTGTTTGTTAAGTGAATTGTCAATGTTGAATTTGACCTACCATTCATTTACGGGCTACTTCCTTCCTTTATTTATGTGAACAAGGGAGGCTTTTATATTCATGCAAGGAATCAAATCTGTATAAAATAAACTAAAAAAAAACCTTAACATAAATTAAAGTTGGAATGATTAACTTTTTTTAATTTTATCCCTTGTTTATTTATTATAATTTAATTTAAATTTAATTTATTAGATATAAATTTATTTTGATTATTAATTGTGAAGAAAGATAAAATTAAAACGTTACATGTTTTTTACAATTGAAAAAAGGATTAATGAGCAAAATGAACTGTAAAGTATTGTAAGAAAAGCATCTCAGACCCTGAATTTTTAAAATATGCAAAATAAACCCTAAACTTATAAATTTATAATAAAATAAATCTTGACCATTAATTTTTTCTAACGCCGTTATTGTTCATTTATAATTAGTGCTACAGACCCTAAACTATTACACGAGTAACGTCATGGACCCTGAACTTTAAAATTTTAAACAAATTACCCCAACATTTATATATAGAATATTGACTATTATGTAGACTAAATTAGCTTTAGCGTGGCTCACTGTAGTAAACACATTTTGGCCGTGGCGAACAACCCATAATTTTATTTTTACCCCTTATTTTGCAATGTTTTACAAACGATTGATATCTCACGCTTCCATATACTCTATAATTTTGATTTAGTTTTATTTTGAATAATGTTTATTTATTTAATAGTGAGAACTTGTGATCTTATTTAAAAAAAGTTTAAGTATTAGAGAATTTTACAAATGATAAATGTAAAGTCCGATTTAATCAATGAATTTAAAGCCCAAATTAACTAGTTAATTAAAATTATTTAATATTTAATTTTTTTAAATAAGATTCTAAGTTTTCATCAATAAATAAATAAACATTATTTAAAATAAGATTAAGTTAAAATTATAGAGTATATGGAAGCATGAGATACCAATCGTTTAAAAAATATTGTAAAAAAAAGGACAAAAGAAAATGTCATTTCATAAAATTATGAATCGTTGCCATGGCCAATGATACCCTCACCACCGCGAGTCACGTTGAGGCTAATTTGGTTGATATAATAGTTATATACATAAACAATAAAGGTAATTTGTTCAAAATTTTAAAGTTTAGAGTTCATGATACTACTTGTATAATAATTTAGGGTATGTGGTGCTAATTACAAATAAATAGTAATGGTGTTAGAAAAAATTAACAATCAGTGTTCATTTTGTTATGAATTTAAAAGTTTAGAATTTATTTTATACATTTTAAGAGTTTAGGGTTCAGGACATTTTTCACAATACTTTAGGGTCCATTTTGCTTATTAACACTATATCCATTATTTCTTAATAAATGTGAAGTTAATTATTTTTAATTTATATTAAGGTAGGACAAAGTGCTTGCTATATATTCTTGTGATGCAATATGCATTTTACATTTTCTTGGACAGAGCCTGAGAGGTTGAGACTAAACATTGACTAAAGTCCAAAGAAGTCGGTTCGAATTTGTGCTATTACTTATCTCAGTGTTTCGGATAATAGTTAAAGGGAAAAATGAAGTTTTGGAATGGTTTAAGTGACAACGCAATGATTAAATTACACCATTTTTAAAAATTAAAAAGGAAAATAGTAAACATTCCTATGCTTATAATGTAAGAGTCAGTTCATCATTTAATCCTTTTTAAAAACATCTAAATTCAAAACACTTACTTAAATAATGTCATTGCATTGTGGCTTTGGGAGCCACATTGGGTGAACATTTTAAGGAGAGGAACCATCATTCAGCAAGTAATAGGTACCCCGCTTATGTTTGTTCCAGCAAAGCTAATAATCTCGTTGTAATAGAGAAATTGGATTAGCAAGGGTCCTATCCAACAGTTATCATGGTTAAAAACTATTTCTTTCATTTAAAAATATAAAATATTTTTAATTAAATTTTACCCTCAATAAAATAGTTAGTTACTTTCAAACTAATCCTATTATTTTATATTTTCCTCTATTAAATACCTTATAACAAATATAAAATTATTATCAATACTGGTATTTTTTTTAAAAAAATAATGATTACACCTCGAAAAGCTAAAAATATTTTATATTTTTTAATATTCAACTCTTTAAAAAATACTTTATATTTTTAAATGGAAGGGGTATCTTTTATATATATATATATATTTAATAAAATAATTTAATTATAAATAAAAATTATACATATATTTTTTTATTATAAACAATCATATTAGAAATACAATCGAGCATTAAAGATAGATGTTTTTTAATAGGGATTTGAAACTTATTTAAAAATTTTGTTAATTTCGAATAGAGATTCATCATTTATCAAGGAGGTATATATATTTTTAAAACTTCATTAATTTTTTTAAGATATCAAAATATTTTATATTTTAAAATATGAAAAGAGTAGAAAAATACCTCGAATGCTCGTTAATTAAAGGCTCGGTTCAATTTGAATCAAGAAAACAATAATTAAAGACTCTTTAAAAATATTAATCCTAATTAAAAATTGTAATATTTTAAAATTTTAGTTAAGGATCTTGGTCTTTAATTGAGATAAAAAAATATAATTTGTGAAGTGAGATTCACTAACATTACTTGAGAATTCACTAACCTGACTTGAAAAATTTTTTAACATATATTATGAAAATATGAAACCCCACTTGGAAATTGATAGTTTAACAAAAAGCGCCACATGAAAATTCACTAACCCTACATGAAATTTTTTTTAACGTATATTGTGAAAATATGAAATCTCATTTAGGAATCAATTGTTTAACAAAAAGTATCACTTCAGAATTTATTAACCCGACTTGAAAAAATTTCTAATGTATATTGTGAAAATATGAAACTCCACTTGAAAATCGATTATTTAACAAAAAATTTTAATTTGGACAAGTCACTTTTTGTTAATCAATCAATTTTCAAGTGGAATTTTATTTTTTCATAATATACGTTAGAAATTTTTTTTAAATCTGGTTAGTGAATTTTCAAGTGATACTTTTTGTTAAATCATCAATTTTTAAGTGAGATTTCATATTTTTATAATATATGCTAACAATTTTCTTAAGTTAAATTAGTGAATCTCTAATTATTCTCACCTTATAAAGTATATTTTTTTATTCGGGAGAATGACAATTAGGGACCTTTTAAGAACATTAATTCTAATTACGGATCGTGAAATTTTGAAATCAGAGTTAAGGACTATAGTCCTTAATTGTGATAAAAAAATGTAATTTGTGAGGTGGGATTCACTAACGCGACTTGAAAATTCACTAACCCAACTTGAGAAAATTACTAATGTATATTGTGAAAACATAAAACCCCACTTGGAAATGGAATGTTTAACAAAAAGCACCATTTGGGAATTCACTAACTAAACTTAAAAAAATTTCTAATATATATTGTGAAAAAATGAGACCCCATTTGAGAATCATTAATAAAAAGTGACTTATTCAAATTGATGTTTTTTATTAAACAATCGATTCCCAAGTGAAGTTTCATGTTTTCACAATATACGTTAGAAATTTTTTCAAGTCGAGTTAGTGAATTCTCAAGTGACGCTTTTTGTTAAATATTCAATTTTCAAGTGGAGTTTCATGTTTTCACAATATACGTTACAAATTTTTTTAAGTTGGGTTAGTAAATTCTCAAGTGGCAATAATAAATCTCATCTCGCAAATTACATTTTTTAATTACAATTAAGGACCATAGTCCTTAACTAAAATTTTAAAATTTTACGGTTCATAATTGAAATTAATATTCTTAGAAAGTTCTTAATTATCATTCTTCCTTTTTTTATCCCAATTAAAGTCTCAGGAATTTCAAAATATTATGGTCCTTGATCGAGATTAATATTTTAAGACAGTCTTTAATTGTCATTTTTCCATTTCAATCCCCCTCAGTCACAGGCAACCGCCTTCATTCCGGCGCCCAAGCGGCTTTGCTGCTCCACTCCTTCAAACTGAGATTTGCAAAGGTATAGTGGCGACTCATCCCGTTACCCGCCAATCAAACGCGGCGCCGTCACCGCCACACCCATTTTAAATTTCCCAAACAACGAAGCGAAACGTTAATTTTCATAGTGGTACGAATTTTTGCAGTACTTATGCAGAGAGATTTTTTCTTTCGTTTTGTTAAATTTTTAAATTATTGATATTGAAAATTACAGATGCTAACTGAAATCTTTTCGTCTTGTAGGTTCTAATACTTCAAAGATCGAATCTTGATCACCTTTCAAGATGTCGACGGATAAAGACCCAACCAATCTGTCCCGTACCTTCAAATACCTATTGGGTTAGTTCATTTGGCCAGAAAACATAGCTTTTATTATTTAATACTTGTTTGTTAAAGCAAATGATATGTGAACTGCGAATTGTGTTTGACTTAAAATATAGTATTTCCAGATAGTTTAGCACTGTGATGGTGGAAAGTTTTAGTGTTCGCTTTCTCTACTTTATCATTTACTCATTTATTTTTATTTTTTTCAAATATTGTGGGAAACATCAAGAGTATGCTATAGTCTCTATAAATTACACTAATGTTATAGTGCGAGTGAAAAATCAACTCTGGATTGGAACGTACGAAGTCAGGAAGTCTGGGCTAAAATGTTTCAACTTTGGAGCATTGACTGATAGAGTTTTTAATCAACTCAATATATGTTTAATGGTCTTTCTAGTCCTTGAATTTTGTCAACTACACTTTTGGTTAACGTTCCTAAATTGCCAATTTCTTGGAGTTTGGAGTTCCTAAAATTTTCTTTGAAAAAGTTTCGTTCCGCATGTTTTATGGTTTTATTTTTTTACAAACTCTCATTGTTAACCTAAAAGCAATATCTCCTATATATTATGAGTTCGATGATTTGGTATTTTTACTTTTGTTTGTGATATCATGCCAGCTACTCAGTTTTTGTCAAGAGGAATACCCTTTATATTCAATACGTGGATTGTGAGGCATCTCAAAGAAGAAGACTACGCGGTAAAAGTTTCTGAAATTTTCTATTAATGTTTCCAGGAGTTATTTATTTCCTATCTTCATCTTTTGCTTGTGTGCTTTCCTATTGATTTTCTTTTTGAGAACCTTGTGTTTTCCAGTTACACTGAAGTTAACAAATTTGCAGTTGAGTTGTTTTTTCTGACTCTCTCTTAGTTTGCTTCAAATTATTAGATAGCTCCAGTAACTGGTTACTGTTGCTACTGGTACTCTCCTGTTCTATTTATTTTGAGGTTTAATTACTTGATTGATAATGTTCATGGATGATCAACTGCTTTGTTTCCAGATCCTTTGGTCATTGATGATCACTTTTATGATATAAGTTGGTTTATTCTTATGTTATGTTTATTTTCTTCTAATGCAGCTATATGCAGTGCAGTTTTATCTTTTTGTAACCTGTGTTTTGTTTCTTAGTCGAGAGGGCTTCCGGCGAGCATGCTTGCGGATGGACATGAAATGGTAGTCCCTTCTACTTTTGCATATTTTGTCACAGAGAAATAATTGTATTCAAGTAGAAAATCAAACTCTAAATTTTATTCCCCTGTTATTTTCTTGTCTGATTTGTTGTTAGTGATTGATAAGCTGATATTCAGCTCTTATTCACCAAAGAAAATTCTGGATGCAGTATCAGGTTTAAATTTTCAGCATCATAATTAAGTGCTACTTGTTTTCATTTGATTAAGTTAAGAGAAGCATTATGTACAGTGCAATGAAATTATTCTGCAATTTCTTTCATTTTGGGTGAAAGGAAGAGCTTATTGTTGATTTATAAATCTCTTTCTTGTTATAGTGATGGATCCTCAAGGGAAGAAGATGTTGTGAAGCTAATGAAAGTAGCTTGGATGAGTCTCCCACTTGGAATATTTATTACATTTGTAGCTTGCTTGTTTGTCTTCTGGTGGCAAGAAATAAATTTTTCTGGTCCTCAAGGGCAAGCTATCTTGATCAATGGTAATTGCTAAATTTTATGTATACATTTTTTTTTATCATGGGAGGAGTTTCTCCCCCATCATAATGCTCCAAATTGTCAAACATAAACTTATCTTGCTGGAATGTCACACTAAAAATTTTAAAGAGAAAAAGAATTTCATATAAGGTCAAAGTACAATTTTGCCCTTAAACTATTTATGGAGGAGCAATGTTGCCCCTAAACTATTCAAAGTAGCAATGTAGCCCCTAAACTAATTAAATTGGAGCAATGTTGCCTCTGCCGTTGTTTGACTGTTAAGTAAGAAGTTTGACCCATGAATGCCCCTTGCTTCAGATAATGGACTTTTTTTTTTTTAATTTTAAACGGTGGGGGCAATATTGCTCTAGTTTAATTAGTTTAGGAGCTACATTGCTATGTTGAATATTTTAGGGGCAAAATTGTACCTTAAACCTTTCATATATTTTCCTGAGTAGCATTTGATTTCTCACTTAAACACACCAAACCACAAACTCTTGAATATCACCTCAAACTATTGCTATGTGAAATTTTGTTTAGTTAAGTTCACTTCTTATGCCAGGTTGCGCGTGTATTTTGGAGCTTTTGGCTGAACCTGTGTATATTCTTTCACAGAACTTAGTCTTGCTGGAATTGCGGCTGATGGTTGAGACAGTGGCTACTATTTCACGATGCATGACAATGTACATCCTTATTGTCAAACAAACTGGAATGGTGAGTGTTTAATTGGAATTTACGATAAAATTTGGTCTTTATCATCCTTATTGTTGGTAACACAGTGTTCGTGTTGAACCTTAGTGCTTCTATTCTGCTCGTTAAGGATTTGTCAAATGACTTCATTCTGATGGTACTTGGGGATTGGGGGGTACATATAATTTAATTTATATTTTATTTCTTGTTTCTACTCCACATCTGACAAAGTAATAAATTTTGGAGACTGCAAATTGCAATATAAGTTTTAATGTCTCTATTAATAGATCTGATCATAGTGGAATGACTGCTTTCAGGAGAAGCCAATCGTATTTGCTTTATCACAGTCTGCATACGGAGCCTCCATTTTTCTGGGCTATTGGGGCTATCTGGTTCTCTTCCGCAAATTCAGAAGTTCTCACATTTTCCCATTCAGGTATATTATAATATATATACAGGGTTAGTTTTTGTATCCGTTATATATCCTTACCAAGGTAATAAGGGAATTATAAATGTTCGAACTGGTTATAAATCTAAAATTAGGCGATAGAAGCTCAAGGAGAGGATTGTGTAATATAGGACTTAGCTTGGCACTGCTATAGGCAACTTCATAGAGATTACTTTTGTACTGCAGTAGCTGGAAAACTTTAATATTCATGTACTGTTCAAAGTGATATATCCTGGAATCATTTGAGACTTGAGAGCTGTAAACAACCTAGCAATTTTTTCCCCTGTTGAGTACATGGGAAATAGTCTCATGCCCATTTGAATTGAGAAGTATCTGAGTTATATGTGGATGAGTTCGGCTTGCTCTAGTTCTATCATCTTCAATGGGATTCCATTTAAGCACTGCTACTGTCTTACCTCTTATATGCATTGATCATGCTGAGGAAATGGATAAAAAATTGACTAGACACATATTTGAAGAAAGATATAGGCTAATATAACCTAGGCCCAAAGCTAAATAAACCTAATCTTAGAAGTCTTTATTAAAGTCCAGATCCTTGATTTAATTTTAAGCTGCCCCACTTTTCCCAAAGTATAAACCTAGTTCCTGATAGTAATTACATTGTCATACAGCACTAGATTATTTATGGCATTTACATATAATATGGAATTGGATTGTGTTTATAGTTTCCTTTGGTACTGGGTGCATTGATTTCTTAAGCATTTGATATATTTGAACAATCAACAAAGAGATTGGGCAGGTCTTTTGTGTGTGTGTGTGTGTTTTAGGGGGGGTTTTGTTACTTTGTGCTGTTTCTAAAAATTTCTTGTCATTTCTGGTTTGAGGATATTTTATCCTCAAACTAATTGCACATTCTTTTATCTCTGGTAAACTTCTTTTTATACAAAGCAAAAAATTGCAGGGAACTAAAGGTGATTGGATTTGATAGGCAGCTGTCAAAGATGTGCATGCTTTTTACCTTCCAATCCTTCCGAAAATTGATCCTTCAAGAAGGAGAAAAAATGGTGCTTGTGTGGTTGGATACACCATATAATCAAGCTGTATATGGTCTTGTGGACAAATTAGGTGAGTAATTGTTGTCTTCTTGAATATTTTAAAATGTCTGTTTTTGATTGGGATACATGGATTGGAGTTCTAACTTCTACACGTGATTTTGAAAATATCATCAACTTTCAGGAAGTTTAGTAGTGAGGCTGGTCTTTTTACCTTTTGAAGAAAGTTCATATGCAACATTTGCAAGGTCTGCTTCAGGTTCTATTTCTCTCCTGTTCTCTTGATGTTCTAACCCAGAATATCAGTGCATCTTTCTCTGATTTTTCTTCTTCTGTATTTATTTCCACTCTGCTTCCATCCTCTGGTGGGCTCTTAATTAAAAAGGTCTACTCTAGTTGGAATTGAATGATAGAAGGATAAGGGGCAGGAGAGTTGCAAGGAAGTTGCTCTGTAATGTCTACAGGATCTTTTAGATATCTAGGATATGGGAGATGTGTTACTTCTCTAGATTGGGACGGTTTAGCTTCTCTATTTTGGAAAAATGGATTTAAGAATTCAGGTCAGCAATTGATGGGACAATTCTGGAAGCGGATGGGAGAGCGATTAGCATCTTAACTTTCTACTATATTTGTTTTATGCTGATTTTTATTTTTTACACACCACACACACACACAGCCTTCTGTTTTGGTTAATGATATTACAGTTTCTATTCTGTCTGTCATTGCTGACAGGGAAATACCCAGATAAAAGCAAGAAATTAGGGAAATGCTTGATGGAGTCACTGAAGCTAGTTTTGTTGATCGGTATGTCCTATTTATTTTATTTCATATAGTTTTCCTCGATTATATGATTTAGTCCCTTGCATATTGGTTGCATTTTTTTTTTTTTGTTATTTCATGAAACTTTAATCCTTAGACCTTTACCCACACCCCATCCCATCCTTATCACCTGAACTAGTCTTAGGTGGCAAGTAACAGCAATATATTTTGGTCTTGTAGAAAGAAACCTTTACAATTTTACTATGGATGTTGGATGTTGAGTAAACTGAATTGCAAAGCTTAGATATAAAACTTCTAAAAAAAAAAAAATGGGTATCAAGTTTTCCTCAGAGTGGTTGGCGCAGGAATTAAAGTTTATATTGACAATGACCAGTAATAGATGCTTCCTTGCATCATAGGATTCTTTTGATATTTGCTGTATTGAGCAATCATCTTCTCTAATGCATCCGATTGCATGGGTTATTAATGGGAGCCTTACGAATTGTGCGCTGATGTGACTATTGGAGTTGCATGAGTAGTTCTATTTCATATTTTTCCTAATGAGTAAAGATTTGGATTGCATGTCTTTGCATTCAATTGCATATTCTAGTGTTCCTACGTTGGTGTCAATATTTAGCTATGTGTTTTGCAGGTCTTGTTTTTGTGGCATTTGGTCCAAGTTATTCTTATTCACTGATTAGATTGCTTTATGGTGAAAAATGGAGTGACGGAGAAGCATCAACTGCCCTTCAGTATTATTGCATTTATGTCATTCTTTTGGCAATGAATGGTTAGTGATTCACATTGTCTGGTACTTGCTCATTTTTGCATTCCTAAATGGTCTTTTTTTTTTTTTTTTTATTCTTCACCTAATCGTTTTTCAGGTTCATTGATGCATTGATATGTAGGGTTCTACTCTCTAGACTTAGTAGTATTTTGTCAATGGCCAATAGCCACCTAGAGGCATAAAAGCTTTCCTCTAAGTGGGAGGTCATGGTTTCAATCCCGCTTGTAACCCCAAGCCATTAGTATATACCTCTGACTTAAAAAAAAAAAAATCCAATGAATTTTTGTTTAATTGGATGGATGAATAATATAAAATATAAATAGCAGGATTTTAGTCTTAATTTTTTTTTTAATTCAAGTTTCAACTACTGAGAATTAGTAACAGGTGATTAAGTTCTGTAACTTACCAGAAAAAAGTTGTTGATATTACGTCATCTTTGTCAATTTCAAAAAAGTCACATGTTAAAGGGACCAAAACGTTAATGATTTTCTTAAAAGAGACCTAAATGACATTCTCCCATTTAAAATTAATTCTTTCTGACAATATGTTGGGACAAGAATGAAATTTAGTTTCTAAAAAGATCGTGGGCAATGTGGGGGTCAATTGGGGTAAAAGATGGCTGTAAACGAATAATAATCCTGGATAGTTGAAAATTATGCAGCTAGTCTATACTGGGACTTGTATTACCAAAGCATCGCAGGAATACTGGTATGGAGAGAGAATAGTGGTGGGAAATGCAATGACTCTGTCATCTTTAACCTTGATGTGCAATTAGCCCTTGCTCTACAATCCAAATGGTGTTTGTATTTTATTGTCCATATCTATATGGGATTCAGTAGAGATTTACGTTGGCTATCAAAGACCTAACATAACCATCCTCATTTATCTGGGCTTGGAACCGGCTATAAACATAGGATAGCATTTTCTAACTAGCATTTGCAGCTCAGGTTTATTTTTTTTTTTTATTTTGGGGAATGCCATGTAGAAGTTTTCCATTGATGCATTAGCAAAATATGTCATTATACCAATCAAAAGTCTTTAGCGATCCAGAACCTAGCATGTCATCCTAATGAATCAAATATCTTCTTACTTAGATTGTATTTTTGTAATTTGCATCAGGAACCTCTGAAGCCTTCTTACATGCAGTTGCATCAGAGAGCCAACTCAAACGTTCAAATGATTCATTACTTGTGTTCTCTTTGATCTATATAATTTTGAACGTTGTACTCATAAGGTTAGCTGGGGCAGTTGGATTGATTGTGGCAAATGCCGTGAGTATCCTTTCTACATTATCACGAAGTTTTGAAGATAATTTAGAAATAATACGTGGGATGGAATATGAAGGTGGTGTTAAAAGAAGGTGAAGCCCTTGACAGCAAAAAAATAGTAAATAACCAATGAGGGTTTGGTCTAGCAGAAAAGGCTAGTCCTTCCCCATAACATGGCGAATTAAGGTTCGAATCCTTGTTGAAAGAAGTGTTCGCATTTAGTGTTCGACTATATTTTGAATAGGATTGTCTCTAATAATAGGATACTAGTGAGCCATAAAAAAATAATAGTAAATAAAAGGGGAAAAAAAAAAAAGAAATCAAAATTAGGTTTGAGCAAGAAACAAGAGATTTGCTTCTGTTTTTTTTTTTTTTTAACTGTGTTTCTATTAGAGGCAATCTTGCTCAAGATACAGTTGAATATTAAACGTGGACATCTCTTCTAATAGAGATTCGAACCCATAATGTTGATCTTTTAGTAATGTCATGATATATACTTCATCCTCCTCTTTTGATTTGCACCTTTTATGGAAAAGAAAGAAATGCTCATCTTTCATTCCTTGACTTGATTAAAAGACATGGCCTTGAGGATTTTGTACTCTGCAATTTTCATAAAGCACTATTTCCAGGTATGGTTTGGATTTTGCTGAACCTTAGTCTGATATATTGGTGCTCACTCTAGCTGGGCATTCTTATAGCTGTTTTTAAAGTTTGTCGTTGTCCTCAGGGATCATCCTCATTCTCTTTCCATAGCTGCTTGCCATCAGGATGGATTATTCTGTTGCTTTCAGGCATAATCACGATCATTTCAGAGAAAATCTTTCTAGTCCGAGAAAATTTCTGGCTAACTTTTCCTATCCATTTCTCTATTGGGCTGGCTTGCTTTTGCGTGTCATCTTATGTGATGTATATTCTTCCTCTCTTTAGATTTCTTTCTTTAGGCTTGGTTTGGATAGGAGGAAAATACGAAGAAGAGAATATTAGAAATGAAAACTTCCAAAAAATAGTAAACAAACATGACTATTTTGGAAGTTTTTTGTTTGGTTTTTCTTTCCTCTGATTTTCTTCCTATCCAAATTAAGGGTAGATTTATGTATGATTGAATACTCTCTTCCTATAATTTTATTTATAAATTACTTTTACATATTTTTGGAAGATTAATGATGGGTAGTTAAATTGTTATTCTTTCTAAAAAAGAAAGAAATTTTTCAATTTACCTTATTAAATGTATTTTTGTTGTTGTAACTTTTTACTATCTACTTATCGAAAATTGTGAAAGGGTAAGATTGAACGAAAGTAATTAATGATCTATCTTTTAATGCAATTTGACTTATAAGAAGGATTATAAATTTCTTCTAGGAGATGACTTATGTGTCTATGAGAGAGAGAGAGATGAGGGAGTATAAGGGGCTGTTTGAAATTGTTTTTATTTTATTGTTCTGAGAATTGGTGTTTTGTAAAATATGTTCTGAAAATGAAAAAATAATAAAAATAAGTGTTTTTTTTTCATTATCTCTTGTTCTTCAGAATAATGATCACATAACATTTAAAAGTTGTTTTCATTTTTTATTTTCAGAGCAATATTTTGTATTTTTGTTCTTTAAAACATTTTTTAAAAACACATTACCAAACAAATTTTTTTATTTCTTATGTTGGAGAATAGAAAACTATTCTCAGAATAGGTTTCTAAATAAACCCTAATCTTTTGTTTTTGATCTTGCCTTCATGGTTTGTTCTTTAATATGTTTTTCTTGTTTCAGCTATCGCAGGGAAAAACCTTTCATCAGAAGAATAATTCGCTTTCGAGATCACTCAGACTGAACACTCTTGCAGATTAGATTCAAGGTTAGTTTTGTTTCTCCGAAAACAACTGAGCATGCCTCGCTTGGTTTGAGCACCGGGAAACAAATTCTTTTTTAGTTTTTTTTTATTTTCTTAGCACAATGTTTATTATGCTGTTGGAATTATTATTCAATGGTGTATATTTGTTTCTACTTTTATTGAGATAATGGCAATTTGTAATCATTAAAAACACCTTTTTTTTTCCCTGTATTTCTATTATACGTTCTTAACAGCCATCAATTTCCATTACTTTCTTCATTTACATGACTAACTAAAAAAAAAAAAAGGCACTTAGTTCAGCTAGTTGAAGGAGTCGAATAAGTTTATATTGAGATTTTGAATTTAAAGACATCCTTCATGTACCTGTGATGCCATAATAACAGTTGCCTAGTGAGAATTTGGATTAATTTGGACAGATGATGGTTATATTTTTTAAGTTTTTTTTTTTAAATACCTAGTGATGGAATGAAAAAAAGTTGTTTCATTTAGTAAAATTTAGTTAAAAGGTCACCATTTCAAATACAGGTGTATATTTTGAGAGAGATCGAGAGCGTTTTTTATTTCTGTTCTTATTTTTTATTTTTAAAAATTATTTTATAATATAGTTTTTAAAATTATTTGTGAAACAAAAATAAAATGAAGATCTGTTTGGTTATGTAATTTAAAAACTGTTTTGGAATTAAAAAATAATTGATGGTGATGATTATAGACAATTGATAGTGGTAATTAATAATAAAAATTAATGAAAGTAATTATAATATTTAATGATTAAATATAGTGTATTTTAAAGATAAGAAAAATAAAACAAAAATCATTTAATGTCTTTTTTATTTTTTTGTTTTTTAAAAATAAAAAATGAAAATAATTTTGAAAGTAATTAAATGAAAAACACTTGTCTAAATAAATTTTTAAATTTTTTCATTTTTAAAAATAAAAAATAGTTTTTAAAAATAGGACACAAACATGCCTTAACTTTGGAACCTGATGTTTTTCAAAAGGATTGAGAATTGAAGATTGAAAGAAATAGGATTGATATGTGGCTCCTATATATCAACCCATCTTTGTTTTCCTATTTTTTTTCTATCATTATAAAATATCTCAAAAATTATTAAGCATTTAGAAATTCATACCATTAATAGGTTAAAAAAATTGAATTAAGAAAGCAAAAACATGTTTCATTTATTATATTTCAGCAGAGTTCTTCCTTTTCATACTAGTTTATAGCAAGCCTGATGTGAATGAGAAAATGCCTAAAATATCATAATATATCGGCATTCTACTTGGTAACGCCAATGTGCTTTGGAAAAATGATAATCAAATATCAATAAAATATGCATATCTCTGTTAATGACATTCTACCAAAAAACAAAAATGTTCTAATGACATTTCTAGGATCTTGACTTAAAGGCAGTCGATCCCCATGAGTGAGGCTTGGAGCTGCCAAGTAGAATGCCGATATATTAAATTATAAATTAAATAAATTAATTCAAAATGCTAAAATTTAAATTGAGTAGTTTAGAATTTATGCAATAGAAAGATATAATATTTTATATAAAAGAATTAGACATATTCAAATTTTGATCTAATGGTTAAGATAAAAAGAAGATAATTCCCCAATGATATAACTTTTTAAGTGTTTATCAGTTTTTTTTTTTTTTACATATTTTCTGAGGATTAAATGTCACAACTACAAATGGTCATCCAAAATTCTCCATCCACATATTATGCCCCTACTTTATAGCAATCATCTAAACAACTTCAAATTCTTACCTTTTATTTTATTTTATTTATGTATTTATCAACCACAATACATGCCGACAATAAAAGTATGATAGAGCACACCCACATCAAAGTTGCAATTTTTTTATTTTTGCTTCATTCTTATATCCTAAATCTTTGACCTAAACTAATCCGATTGACAGCTTGTGAGTACCTCCTTGGGAGACAAGCCTCCCACCAAGAATTTAATCGTTATTGCATATCCAAACTTGAACTCGAGACCTTTTGGTTAAGTTAAACCACTTCTAGCCAATTAATGCAAGTGACTAGTGGTTCAATCAAACAATATGAATTAGTGACTGTAATTCTCAGTTTTCTTGAAGCATATTCTCATTACAAAACCCCAGATTTTGATGGCAATGTTGCATCTGTCGGCATTTTCAATGATATCTTCATGTAACAAAGTGCCACCTCTTTCCCAACATTGCTTCTGATTCATAAAATAATAATGAAAAAGTTAGGACTGTCAAGTTTATACAGATGATTAGCATTTAGCAGAGATCGCTATATGGGTTGAGTTTTATTCCAATTCCGAGATAAATGCTTACTTGTTTACATGTGCTCTGTTCAAGGGAAAATTACAATCAGGTTTGAAACAAGGAAATTAATTATTTCTTCAGTCCATTTACAAGTCAAACATGTTAAATTTCAGTATTTACAAATAGACAGAGCTTGTAAGTAGTTAATTTCTTTATATAGGACCTAATCAGGTCCCAAATAAAGAAATTAACCATTTTTTCAATCCATTTACGAGACAAATTTCTATATTTACATGTTAAATTTCAGTATTTATAAGTGGACAGGACTTGTAAGTAATCAATTTCTTCATATGAGATTTATATGTAATTCTTCCTTCATGGTTTATTCTTTAATAAATTTTTCTTGCTTCAGCTATCGCAGGTAAAAACCTTTCATCAGAAGAATAATTCGCTATAGAGATCACTCAGACTGAATACTCTTGCAAGTTAGATGTAAGGTTTGTTTTGTTTCTCCAAAAACAACAGATTAGATCTCGTTTGGTTAGACCACCAGGAAAGAAATTCTTTTTTAGTTTTTTTTTTAATTTCCTTTGCACAATTTTTATTATGCTTTTGGAATTATTACTCAAGGGTGTATATTTGTTTCTAATTTTATTGAGATAATGGAAATTTTTAATCATTAAAAACACCTTTCTTTTATTTTCCCTATGTTTCTATTATGGGTTCTAAACATCCGTTAATTTCTCAATTGCTTCTTCATTTGCATGACCACCTGGAAAAAGAAAAAAATGGAGGGTATTTGGTTTGACTAGTCAAAAGAGGCGAGTCAATTTATACCGTGATTTAGGATTCAAAGCATCCTGATGTACCTATGATGCAGGGCTACACAAAAGACAGGCGGAACTAGACTTCAGTTTAACCTGACATTTAGTCTCTTTTATGAAAAAAATTGAGTTAAGAAACTCATAGTTCACTCTTATTTAGTGATAACTCAAAAATTAACAAGACTAAGATTGATCCATAAAATTAAAAGACTAGTCCTGTTAGTTCAATAGCCACTTAGTTTTTTTTTTCCTTTTTCTCTATGAGAGGTAATAATCCATTTCAACATAAGATAAACTCAATTAAGATAATAAAAAAAATTATAATCATAATAAATCCATAATAATTTTCAACAACAAGAAAAAAATATTTCAATTACAATTCAAGTGGTCTAGATTATTAAATTATTATTCTAAGCTTGTGACCATGTCAAGAACTAAACTTATTAAATTATTAACAGTCTTAACTTATTATTATAAATAATTATTAATTAATTATAATTATATTAAATAAATTTAATAGGACTAGACTAGACCAAGTATTTCAGATGCCCAGTCTCCTATCTAGTTCAATCCAAAGAAACAGATTGATCATTTTAGTCTTTTAATTTTAAAGGATTAGTTTTTCAAAAAATTAAATTTTCTCAGGTCAGACTATGTTGAATAAGACTGGAAGACTTCTGCACAGTACTAGGTGCCATTATTGGTGATAACAGTAAAAGTGGGTAGAATTAACCTAGATGAATAGTGATATGATAATATCTCCAATTTTTTCAAAATACTAGATAATATAATATAAAAAAAGGTCACCATTTCGAATACAGGAAAATATATATAGAGGCCGGGGGGGGGGGGGGGAGATTGAATTTGGAACCTCAAAGGATTTAGAATTGAAGATTGAAAGAAATAGGAGTGATATGTAGTTCCACCCGGATATGTTAACTTGCGCTTGTTTTCCCTTTTTTCTTTTCCATCTTCATAAAATATCTCAAATATATATATATATATATATATATATATAAAAGCATTTAGAAATTCATGACTATTAATCGATTAAAAAAAGAATTAAGAAAGAAAAAAAACAAATGTTTAATTTTATCATATTTCAGGAGAGTTCTTGCTTTGTATACTAGTTTATAACAAGCCTAGTATGAATGAGTAAATGTCTAGAATATCAGAATATATAGACGTTGTACTTGGTAACCCAATTTGCTTTGGGAAAATGATAATAAAATATCACTGACATATGCATATCTTAATTAAAAATCACAAAATGCTCTAATTACTTTGAAGTCTTTTGAGACTTTCTCGGGATTAACATTTTTCATGAGATGGCAATATTGTCCTTTCTCTCCTCTCCCAATATTAAGCTTTATGTTTGTAGAACCTGACTTGTAGTGTGAAATAAGTCTAAAAGAAGGTAATCAACCACCATGAAGGGACTTGGAGTTGTCAAGTAAAATGCCACTATGTTAAATTATAAATTAAATAATTTATTATGCTAAAATTTAAATTCAGCTTAGAACTTAAGTAATGAAAGATAAATAATATTTTATAACATAACAGAAATGTTCAAATTTTGATCTAATGGTTAAGATAAAAAGAAGCTAATTCCCCTGAGAAAATAACTTTTAAGTATTTATTATCAAGTTTTTTTATTAATATATTTTCTGAGGATGAGGAGTTAGAACTACATATGGTCATTCAAAATTCTCCATGCCTTCACTTTATAGCAAACATCTACAGAACCAAAAATTTTTATATGAACCAAATGCACAACATTATTCATGATTTATCTAATAAAAATATGGTATTCAAATGACATTAAATATAAACTGATTCTGATATTAACAATAATAAAGAGATAAAATGTAAAAAATTATATATGCATTCTATTATAAAATAAAATTATTAAAAATAATGATATAAGATTTTATTTGATTGAAGTGATATAATTTTATTAAATGAATTATCAATCACATGATGTACTAGTTCCATCTAAAAATGCCTCCTTAAAATCTTCAAATTCTTACCTTTTATTTTATTTATTTATCAACCACAAGTAACTATGCAGGCCAGTCATATCATTCAAAGTTGCATTTTTTTTATTTTTATTTTCACTCTTGTATCCTAAATCTGACTTAAATTAATACAATCAGTAACTTGTGAGCACCTTTTGGGAGACAAACCTCCCATTAAAAATTTAATTGTTGCTGCATATTCAAGCTTGAACTCCGAGATTTTTGGTTAAATTGGATCGACCACTTGGTTGGTTAATCCAAGTGCCTAGTGGTTAAATCGACGATATGAATCAGTGACTATAATTCCTAGTTTTCTTGAAGCATGTTCTCATTCCAAAACTCCAGATTTTGATGGCAATGTTGCATCGTAATTTGCCGGCATTTTTGACGATATTCTTCATGTCACGATGTGCCACTTTTTCTCAACATTCCTTCTGATTCATAAAACAATAATGAAAAAGTTAGTATTATCCCAAAGAATAAAAAATAGACACTGGAAATCTAATATAAAAATGAAGCATGAAACAGAAACCGACAGAAGAATAAACAATGAACCATCATCATTTTGAAGAGTAAATAAGCAATTCCATCTCACATTTAATTCAATGATGTCAAGTTTATACAGATGATTAGCATTTAGCAGAGATCGATATGTGGGTTAAGTTTTATTCCAATTCCAAGATAAATTGCTTACTTGGGTACAATTCATCATTGATCTGTTCAAAGGAGAATTACAATCAGATCCCAAATAAGAAAATTAATTATTTCTTTACTCCATTTACAAGTCAAACTTCTATATTTATATGTTAAGTTTCAGTAGTTATAAGTAGACGAGACTTGTAAGTAATTAATTTCTTTACATAGGTCTTAACCAGGTCTCAAATAAGGAAATCAATTATTTCTTCAATCCATTTACAAGTCAAACTCCTACATTTACATGTTAAATTCCAGTAGTTACAAGTAGATAGGACTCGTAAGCAATCAATTTTCTTATATGGGACTTATATGTAATTCTCCCTATTTTAAAATGCTTTGGTAAAGCTGAGAGCTAACCCGCATAATAACATCAGCATGCAGGAAAAGTATGATCAAATGGAGAAGTTACAGACAACTGCGAAAGGCCAAGCAACCAAATACTCAACAGCAACTATTTGTTCCTTTCACTTTCATAAGCAATTAGTTGTATCTTTGATTCACATCCTCACTAGTAATAACTAGAAACACGCAAGGTGGCCTCGGAAAAAAAAAAAATATAGCAACATGTACTCTCTCTGGACCACAATATAGAATGGTGGCAACTACTTCAGGGCTCTGAAAAAAAAGTTAGGTGAAACCCTAATTTCTTAAAAAATTTATCTTTCCAATTATACCCTTATTAAGTATCTTATATTAAGTGCCTTAATAACGACAATTGAAATTGAAAATTCAATACATAATTTTTTAAAAATGAGTAATAAATGAAGTAGAGGTATAGTTGAAAAAATAATTATAAAACTGACATCCTATATCATTTTAGACCAACCAAGGTTTTTAGAAGATATCCTATGTTATGGTCTGGAGAGAGTATTATGTGTAATTTGTTTGCAATCCCTTGGGAAATAAAACCAGTCAGCTTTTAGCACTCTCCCATTAATTTGTAAGTTCACTCCAAGAAATTTCTCAAGCATAAGACATGATTCTCACCACAGTCTATGAGAAACTCCAGTTTCATATTGTGCATTCCCTCCCGTGCGTTCACTGTTCACTGTTCTAATATTTGCATGAACAAGTTCCGAGGGAGAATAAGATCCAAAAACAATCTGAGTAGCAGCATAGTGACACCTGAACTGATTTTTTTTCCGCCGCTACCATCTGCATGAGCCTGGAAAATTCTGCATTCCAAAAACGACCAAAATGTCACTCTATACAAAAACAAGAACAGGCAAACCCAAAAAATGTCAGAATGCTTAAAGCCACTAGGTATGGACAAAGCGGTAAACGGTGTCAATAGTTACCAGGAAATCTTAGATTCAAGCCTTTGATAAAAAATGTAATCCACAAAAGCCAGAAATCCTTGTATCTAAAAACATGGGATCTGTAACCGCTTCATTTTTCTCACCAAAGCCCAAAGCCAGCAATTTGTTTGACCATTATTGTCTCAAGTTCAAAAATACAGGGCAAAGATCAGTGTCTAGATTAGAAAAATTTGAACTTCAGGCAATAAATAAATTTCCCATCAATTTAACAAGCACAAGTTTCAATGTTTTTACTACTCTGTTGTGGTTCTATTACAACAGATTCCAGTCTCAAGTTGTTGTCCACACTAATCATAATTAAAATCAAAATAAGCTTGAGTCCAAAATCTTCAAAGGAACACAGATGGTTAACCACAGTTGTCAAGTCGCAGTCAATTGCACACAAGACTATAGCTTCTTGTTTTTTTTTTTTCTTTTTCCAAAATTCTGAATTGAAAAGTGTATCAAACACTACGATTCAAAAACAAAGTGAAAACATCTCGCAATATTTATAATGTAATATTGCAACAAATATCCCAACCAATAAACTTTTTGGCTTTCAACTTTGGGAGCACGGTAAGCGAAACACCTGACAGACTCCAAGAGTAAACTAAAAAATTGTGCCCAGCAAAGCACAGACCCAAGATAGGATAGTGCAAATAGCAGAATCATAAAATTCTTCAATTCTTGCTGAATTTTCATCAGTGCAAGCAGTTTCAACAATTCAAGCACGTGAAAGTCACAATATGCATCAGATTGTATCATGTAATTATTGCCACAAAATTGATTACAATGATTAAAACATCTAGAATCATTAACCCAAATGAGAATATTTAAACTTCTGAGCTCAGTATTCAGCAAAAGGATTTAAATAGTGACAAGACTTCCATTAAATAAAAGCATACTGTACAAGCAGATTGCAGAGACACTTACCTAAAGCATTTGTCACTCGTATGAACCAAAACATGAGCAGCACATTTGGATTGAAGTCTACTCCAGAAACCAAAAGAAGACTTTCAATCAAGCACAGCTTTCTTTTGCAAATTGCATGACTCCGCAATGTCTAAAGCAATGGGCATAATACAGGATTTAGTAAAGATGACAGTATCGTTTACTTGCTAACCAGTCCTGATAAAAGTTAAATGCCATGACCGGTTCTTCCAGTTTGCAGTATTTGTTAAAAAGAATCTGAACTGGAACATGATCACTCAATAAACCAGATTTCTGTACTTTGGCAAAAACCTCTTCTGCCTCTTTTATGTTACCTCTCATGCAGTACCCTCTAATCAGTTCAGTGTAAGTAATCAAATCTGGCTCATATCCCATTCTGAGCATCTCATCAAGTAATAGAAGTGCAAAACTAAGGTTGCCTAAATTGCAAGCAGCACCTATCAACAAATTGTAAGTAACCACGTCAGGATAGATGCCATTTAAAACCATATCTTCCTTCAAAGAATAAGCATCATAAAAGTTTCCAATCTTCATTTGTGCGTTAATTAATAGATTATAAGTAAATACATTGGGCCTAACACCAAAAGCCAGCATCTGCTCTTTCGTAATGAATGCATTGCCAAGATCTCCACATCCTCCATAACAGTCAATTACAAGGTTCCATATTAAAGGCTTGGGCACCATTATGTAATCCAACATGAATTGAAGCAATTGTTTGGCTCTAACAGCATATCCATTCAAACAAAGGCCCTGCATCATAATATTGTAGGATATTTGGTCAGGCATAACTCCCATTTTAGACATAACCCCAAGAAGATAGCAAGCTTCGTCAATCCGGCCTTCCTTGCAAAGGGCACTGATAAGAGTATTGTAAGTAAACACATCAGGAAGCAAGCCTTTCTTAAGCATTTCACATGCATATCCATAAGCAAGATTCATTTTTTGATTCATACAAAGTCCATGGATTAGAACATTATAAGCAACAGCATCTACTTTTCCATTCTTCTGAAGCATCTCATCCCAAATGCTGAGGGCCTGAATCATAGCTCCATTCTTAAAATGATAATCCATATATATTGTAGAGGCAACTAAATCTGGTTTTCCTTCACCATCATCATCATTTAATATTTTATCGAAGAGCATTTTAGCCTCCTTCAAAAGACCTTTCCCACACAATGCATGCACAAGTATGTTACATGTAACCCTGTTTGGCTGAATGCCAGCATGGGCCATGGTAGAGAACAAATGGAGAGCTTTATCTAAATTATTAGTGAGGCAATAACCCTTTATAAATGTGTTGTAGGTGGCACAGTTGGGGGAGGGGCCCTGTTCTAACATTTGTTCAATAAGCCAGCCTGCTTTCTCCATTAAACCCATTTTACACAGCCCATTCACCAGATGGTTGTGGGTAAATACATCAGGAAGAGAACCTTTCTGCACCATTTTGCTCTGAAGCCATAATGCTGCTCCCAATTTACCTTCCAAGCATAACATTCTAATGATGGCTGTGTACTCAATGTAGTTAAATTTACATGTATATCCAGCATGATCTAGTTTTTCCAAAGTTATGCTTTTCCTGCAAAATTTATTGTAAGAAATAGACATGCCATCCATTCTAGACTCCCCAAAGATATTGATATTGTTATATAATTGTAAATATGACTAGAATTAGTTATAAAACTAGCCATTAGGTTAGTTACAGGGAATGGCTGTTGGGATTTTTTTTTAGAAGCTTATAAATGCCTATGACCCTATTGTAATCTCGTATGCTAGTCATCAATAATAGATCAGCATATTATTCAGTACCTCTCTTGTCTCTCTGTTTCCTCTCAATCTCCCTGATTCTCTCATTTCTTTTTGTTCTTCTCTCCAATCCTCTCTATTTCTCTCTCTTCCAATATTATTCTGCCATAACAGATATAAATTTATACTTTTAAATAACTGCAAAAAGAGATGAAGCCAAAACTAAACAGCCCTGGAATTTTTTTATAAAGAACTACTTTGAAGTTGACTATGACACATATCTCTCAGATGCTCCAAAATTTACAATATCGAAGCTCACCTCATCTTCTGCAGACGCTCTAGACTGTCCTTTAGCATATTATCCAAAGCATTGAAAACAGCTTGTGGGGCATTCTTATCACCAAAATTCCTCTCTCTTGACCAATTTTCAGCATCTAATGGGCACTCCTTTCCCATATTTGATATGAAATCTTTGGCAGATGATGAAAGCATATACTCTTCACAGAGAGTCCTACATGCAAATAATGAAAACATCATGATAATACTGAGCCAGAAGTTGCAAACACAGTCATAAGTGTGTATGGTGTAACAGGAGACAATCCAGAAAAGAAAAGGTAGAAGGTAAGACACATACATTGATAACTATTTCTCAATTCTCCAAGTAATAAATTTATAGTTCATATTTCTCTCTCTTCCCTTTTTACCATTTAAGGTCAGCCAAGCCAAGTTGAATATCAGCATAACCGTTTCTTTTTCAGCATAATTTTGTCTATAGCCGAAACTTTGTCAACAGCCAAAACTGCTAAAAGTCTAAAACCCTATAATGTACCTTACTTTTATGGCAAGAAAAGACAGTAAAATATGGACTATAGGCTTCCCCCACCCCCACCAAAATAAAGAAAAAGAAAATGAGAAGAGGAAAACTAAATGAAATTACCTGCCATTTCTATCCTTCTTTGGCTGGGAGTGGAAAAAGCCAGCAATGATTTGACCAACATCATGCTTGATGCACCCAAACTGATTCAAAAATCTTAAGAAAGCAACATGGACTTGCAGGAAAGGTGATTCTCCAAAGGCAGCTGTTAGCTGAGACAACCAAAAACAAATTATTCGGCCACAACGCAGTACAGAATCAACATGTAGGGTGAGACATCAATAATCATTAGAAAGAGTTTCCACTCACTGCCATTCAGCTCACTCAGATAAATCTGATTGCAGATAATCAATTCAGAAAAAACATTTATCTAAAAGATTGATCCACAAAACAAATTTGATTACAGAATCTGGTCATTAACACTAATAATGCATTTAGCACTCTAGGTCACCTGCCCGAGAGATTACAAGAAAATCATGAAAAATCATAGATTTCCAAAAACAAATTCAAGCTAAACTACTGGTAACCATAAGACATGATAATTTAAATAAACGGGTAACATGGAAAAAAATATACACATGTAAAATGTTACATAATTCTTAACAAAAAGATGCATTATATTGTACATGATAACATAAACTGCACAGGTTGCATAGAGACACAGAGACAAAATTAAATGGATAAGAATTCAAATCCTAAAGACAATACTTTGGGTGATAACCAAATTATGATATCCAAGAAACTTAGGAATGTAAAAAAATACTGTACTAACAGCTCCTTAAATGATAAAAGATACACACAGCCAAATAAAGGTGTGAAATATGATAGAAGGACACAGCTTGTTGAAGGTTGATGGCTAAATGCCAATGTGTCACTCCCTATAATTAAAGGTCCCACTATTTGAAATAAAGGCATGATTTGAAAGCAAAAGCAAGAATCATAAACACGCTAAAAAGAGTAAGTTTTAACGTTTGTAAAGAGTTCTTAACAATATCCCAGAAAGGTTTAGTTTGACCAAAAAGAGAATGTATGGTGACAAAATATAGCCAACACATGGGACAGAATTTGCTTTATCGAAATTAGGAACTTGCCCTTGATATCGAACTCCAAAGAAAATACCAAAAACCTTGAACATCAATGGTAGATTAATTAAATCTGTAAGTTTCCCAAATATCCATCTTCATTTTGCTTAAGTAGTACCCTAAAAGACCAAAGAAGTACCAGATAGTACTAATAACTGTGTTAGGAGAATACAGGCACCAACATAAGTAAGCATCTGATGATGCCAAATGCTCTCACTGGAAACACTAAACACCCAACGGAAACATGAGCTCCTGCTTATGTACCAGATAGTACTAGCAAAACATTTTCCTCAGTCAAAAGATTTATCCTTTCCCCCAGACACTCCAACAAAAAAGGATACCAATGATGATGCCAAATGCTCTCATTGGAAACATTACACCCCCAACGGATATATTAGCACCTATTTATGTATTACTGAATCTCAAACTAAATAACTAACCCATAACTGAATTAATTGAAAAATGAAATCAAATCTTACCATGGATTTGAATTGAACTGCTTTAGTTTATGACTCCAAGGAACGACGAAAAGAGAAGAACAAAAGAACAGTATATCCACCAAAAACGTCAGGCCCGGATTCTCCCTTTTTCTAAGTTTCAAAAACTTACTCGGATCTGCAATGTAAGCTGACTGAAACCCAGACAGCTTCCGTTTATTGGCCGTGGGGCTGGCGTCTCAAATGACTTACTCTGGGATTCAGTGGAAATTTGGGAAAGAAAAGAGAAGCCAAAAACGGGTCTGTGAAGAAGAATAAGAAGCCTCAGGTAACAGAGCCTTGCTTGAATAATGTACCAAGCGAGATGCAAAGCAGCAAAACCAATCGGAGAGAGGACGTGGAGACTTCACACATAGAAGAGGGCATTACACAGCGCTGCTTGCTCGCCAAGTGCTATGGGCCGAACCGGGTCCAACAGGCCTGTTAATAGATGGAATGAATTTAGTTGGCATTCTTACAATCAGGCCAATATCAAACAATTAATGTCCGTGTATAAGTATGACAGTGTTTGTATTTTTATAATATACATATACATATTAAATTAAAATAAACATATCAGGTCAAAAAAAATTAAAATATAGAAAATTCTGTAAATTTTGAAATAGTTGTCGATGACTCTTTTTTTTTTTTAAGTTTGAAACTAACTTTGAACTATTGTTAATTTTAATATGAAAGTACTATTTTTACCCTTTAGAAAATTAAAAAAAAATTGCCAGACCCAACAATCATCGGTACTCTAATCGGTGTGCAGCGATCGAGCTTCACACAACAAAGTTCAGCACAAATCTGCAAGCAAAACCAGAGGGGGAGAGCGAGTGCGAGGCATAGCTTGAGGAGCTTCAAAGATTGAAAGCAATTCCTCAACTTTACTAAAGTCAGTGACAAATCAATGTGTAAATCCTTTCATTCTCCTTTACACTTGTTTTTGTAAGGCTTGTTATTGTTGTTGTACGATTAGCTTATATGGAATGTTATTATATGTTTTTTAAAATATGATATGATGATTTCTATTAATATGATAATTAAAAAAAAAAATTAATCTTTTTAATTCTTATAATTTTGACTTAATTATAATTTAATTACTAAATTTGACTCATTATAACTTAATCCCTGAAGTTTTAAATATGTTGTAAATCAATCTTTAAACTTTGCCTTTTGTAATTTAATTTATGAAATTTTAACCTCTTAAATATTGATCCTTATATTTTTTAAAAATAAAATTATAAAGATTAAAAATATTTTAAAATTTAGTACTAACATTTTAAATTATTAAACCTTTTTAATCTTTATAAATATTATAAATATTAAAAGTTTAAAATATTTTTAATCATTATAATTTTATTTTTAAAATATAAGGATCAATATTTAAGAAGTTAAAATTTTAAAAACTAAATTATAAGAGGCAAAATTTAATGATTGATTTATAAGAGTCAAAACTCCAGAAATTGAATTATAATAAGTTTTAAGGAATGAATTATAATTGAATCAAAACTATAAAAATTAAATAATTAATTTTTATTAAAAATAATAATAAAAAATTTTGTAATAAAAATGAAAAAAATTAGAGATATTAATTTTAAATTTAAAAAAATGAAAGATTGTGCAACGATTGTGGGTTTTACATATTTTAACTTAATATAAATATAAGAAAAAATTAATCTTTTAGTCTTTCAATTTTTAATTCACTTGTAACTCAATTCTTTTGTGACTCGCTGTAATTTAATCCCTAAATTATAACTTATTGTACTCAATCTCTTAACGTTTGATTCACTTATAATTTGGTCCTTATTTTTAATTTTTTTTAAAAATTTTTTATCAAATAAGAAAGATAAAAAAAGCTCATATATTATTTTAAAATACCTTTCTCTAACTCTTTGATGTGAGATTTAAGCTAATATAAAAAAGAGAATTAAAAAAAGTTGAAAGATTAAATTATAAGTGATTTAAAAGTTGAAGAACTAATTCATAAATAAGTTATAGTTAAAAGATTGAGTCATAATTGAAAGATTAAATTACAAGTGAATTAAAAGTTTAAGTATTAAAAGATTAATTTTTTTAAATATAAATATAAATTAATAAAATAAATTTTAGTATTTGGGTTTGGGGCAGCCTAATTTTCTCTAAAATTAATTAAATATTATAACCCTCTTTTCTTCGTCGAAGAACCAGCACCAGCACCAGCACTCCAGACTTTTCGGGCGAAAAAAGAACAAGCACTCCATGCTGGGCGCCGTCAGCCGTTTTTAGCCCTGCGTGGTTGTCTACTCCCAAAATCCGGTGAGATTGATTTCTTAGATCTGGCTTTAGATCTTGATCTGAATTTATTCTCCCCGTCTTCCGCTCCCTGCTTTGTTGTCAAACCTTTGTCGGACGCCGTCGCGCCGCTTCTGACTCTGTTTTAAATTTTTCATTTTATTTAGCTTTGAATTATAGTCTTTTTAATATTTAAGGTTTTGAATGAAGATTAAATTTAATCTTTTTTTTTTTTGGTAAAATGTTTTACTTCAATGGGGGTGTAATCGGCTATTATACTTCTGCTCTCTTCGTTTTGATTGCTAGCCACTTATATGATTTGGATTGTTTTGTTGTGCAATGTTGGATTTCTTTTGTAGTGGCATTCTGTTTATTAATCTCTTTATATGATCATTTATTTAGAAAATTCTCAAGGCATATGCGATGCATGATCTGGTAATGACTTGGTTCGAGTTGTGTCTAACAATTTAGAGTCTTGAGTTTAAATTGTCATTCTTCAGTTGCTTGGAGGAGTTTCTTGAATCAATTCGCCTACCAAGGCATCTTTGACAAAGTATCTGGAACAAAAATTGAAAGGATATTATATCAAATGTGCATTGCTAGATGAGCGAGAACTATTCATATTTCAAATGTATAGGATGTAAGTACAAACTCAAATTCAGATTAGCTAGAACTTCAACATATTTTTTGGCCGATATAGAAATATTATTTGCCTCTATGTACATATGTAATCAGTGGTAATATCTTTTCATATCATATATGAAGGGTCTATTTATATACTTATGCGTTGCTAGTATCACACTATCACAATATGGTGGCGTCTAGACTACTTCACTAGTGAAGGCTGTGGCTTCTTTCAACAATGGAAGTCAAAAGGGAAGCTACTTCCACCATTTCTTAATTTTTAAATGACTGATAGTTGTCTTAATGTCTTCAGAACTAAATAATTTTATTTTAAACAGTGCACTACATTTTTATTGATTGGAAAGTAATGGTATAGAATTTTTTTGAGAGGCTTTACTGATAAAATCTTTCAATCTAAGTTTTAGGGAGGCGCTTGTCTCTCAACTGAAGCGGAGTGAATGGAAGAGCAAGAGTCTGCATCATCTACTTATGGTGGAAAAACCGTGGAGCAATGTGAATCCATGATTCAAAAGGGCCTCCAAACTCCAATGGTAAGGTTCTTGAGGGAACGCTTAGAGAAAGCTGGGTGTCCTGTGGCAAACAATTTCTTCAGGGCTGTAAATTGTGAGAAAAATGTAAGTGGTGGTTACATTCGCGGTGAAGGGATTATAGTGTGTGTGAATAAGATAGCTGTACAAGATGAGGTCAACCAGGTGTTAGCTCATGAGTTGATTCATGCGTATGATGATTGTTGTGCTGCCAACTTAGATTGGACTAATTGTGCCCATCATGCTTGTAGCGAGATCCGATCCAATCATCTGAGTGGAGATTGTCACTACAAACGGGAACTTCTGCGAGGTCATTTTAAAATACGTGGTCATGAACAAGAATGTATAAAACGAAGAGTTATGGCATCATTGTCTGGAAATCCTTACTGCTCTGAAGCAGCTGCCAAGGACGCCATGGAAGCTGTTTGGGATGTTTGTTACAACGACACACAGCCCTTTGACAGAGCTCCATAAGTTCTCTGAGGGCGTAGGAGCTTGCCACCTCCTAACAATGATTGTTTTGATTTGTTGTGGATTATTTTTATCTGAGATAGGAATGCAGGAATTTTTTTTTTTTCCAAATGTAACTCAAAATGCCAATCGTTTTATAAAATTCATTAAATTGGTTGAACTTCCACATAAAATTGGGTTTTTGCAATTCAAAATTGGTGAATGTTATAACATGTAGAGCTTTTGCACCCCCCCCCTTTTTTTCTTTTCTCAAAGCAGGTGTGAGAAGTATGTTTCATCTTGCATCCACAGTTTATTATTATCTGGTTTTATACTCCATCACTAGGTTCGAACAGTGAGCAGAGAAGCCCATCAGTGAGATTGTGAACAGGACAAAAATGTAAAAGAAACTAATTTGAAAGGTAACAAACATATTTGCTTTACCCTTGTTATTTCTTATTATTCTACACGAATTCAATTTGATAGCATTAGTCCTATCAAATCGAGATACTAGATGAACCTTAATGTGTATAGAGCACAACGTAGGTTGCCTCTTGAAAGCTATTCCAAGTTGATTTAGAGTGATTCTCAAGTGTTACAAATTAATATACTATCATCCACCCATTTTACTTGCTTTGATTGCTTGCTTTCTAGTAATTAGAGTTTTTTACATTCAGTCTTGAATTCAACATGTTGGTAACTTGTAAACACTTAAATTTGCTTGAGAATCAACTTGGAATAACTCCTAGTGAAATGAGCTAGGTTGTACTGTAGCTACGTTAGGGTAAAGCTTAGTATATTAATTTGGTGCATAAACGACATTGTTATCAAAATTCATTATGCCTTTTTTCTGGGTAGTGAGGCAGATGTACAGTTTAAATGGCTTGCATAATCATATCTAGCTGCCCGCTAATGTGCCATTTTGGTATCTCAATTTTACATGTGAACGTAAATTTGATCTGAGTCGTCTGATCTCGAAATTGAATAATATCTTATCTTGCCTTAGTGGGACCTGTGAGTTATGCTTATGTTTGTTAATTGGATGGATCTGAATGATGCTGAATCGTATCTGTAATGCGAGTCTAAAGTATATTCATGAAACAGTGATTGTTTCAGCTTGTTTTCGATTTTTCATTAAAAGAATCTAATTCTATATAAAATATACACATATATGTCCCCCTTACACGCAAACACGTGCACTGGCATGCAGTGCTTGCATGCATGCACACATTTCCCCCTTTTAAAACTCAACACAATTAATTATTTTCAGGTCTATTCACAATTGAATTTAAAAGAATGACAACACAAATGTGTTGTTTGTGTTGTCATTTTCTAAGTTTAAGTGTCAATGGACCCAGAAAAGAAAAAAGGTTAACATGTAACATGGTCCTTGTGTGAAAAATAATTTCTTTTTTTCTGTTGGCCCATGAAAAAAAATAATTCAATGAAATAAATCATAGTGAAAAAATAATAATAATTTTTTTTTAACTTAAGTACTAATTCCTCAAGAAACTTGAATGTCATTTAAGAAGTTATCTTTTTTCAAATGATGTCTTTCATACACTTTCAAAATCAAACCTTGAAATGATGCTTAAGGGGTCCAAAGAAATAGTAATTCCATTACTCCTATATGATTTATCTAATTTCTTTCATTTAAATCTTGTTCCCACTCGCTCTAAATTTAAGACCTAGAATTTTTTTTATAAAATATTAGAAACAATTCCAAAATCAAATTGACTCAATCAAATCGAACTGAAATATTATGATTTGGTTGAGTTTGGTTTCATTCAGTTTTTGAAATTTATTTTTTTTCCATATTTTTTATTTATTTAGCTCTATAACCAAACCGATCTAAACTAACAAATGCTCATTGATTTGCTTTTTGTTTTTTTATTCCAAAAGTGTCATACCCTGCACTTGAAACACCAATTCACAGTCATATAGTATACCAAACCATACTTTATATAATTTGACCCTCTATATCACGTCAAATGAAAATGAAAACAAAAACAAAGAATCTTGTCCTCATCCGAGACAGTCAAAGCATAATATACATGAAACCTCTCAAAATATATATGCATGTGTGTGTGTGTGTGTGTGTATATATTAAGTCTCAAGTCGAAAGCACAATACTCGTTAAAAAATAAACTCCATCAAATACCAACAAACACGCAGCTCAACTAGTTGGAAGCTATGCTAGCTTAATTATAGATTTTAAATTCAAGTCTTGGATATACAGTTATATTAAATACTCGTTCATAAAACTTGTTGTACTTGTGGCCCAACTTGGCTTGATTTGGATTAGTTGGGGTTTGAAAGACGTACTCTAAGTAATGGGTGTACATACAGAAATAAACCCCATCAAATCCTCTCAATAGTAACCACTTGCAGCACAGAAAATATGGTTTGCACAATAGATAGAATCAGCAGTAAGAATCCTGTGACTGAGATAGCAATTTGCCAAGGAGTGCCACAATAATCTCTTCTCAAAGTTGCCTTCTACTTGTGCCAAGGATTTTGACAGATCATATTCAACTTTTTGCAAATTTCAAGGTATTCACAACTAAAATCCATTACAACAGCATTTTTCCACAGACCATTGACCAGTGCAGCAACATTATTAGCAACCCCAATATAATTTCTCATTATCTTGTTGTGAATGAGTATACCCACATCTTTGCTTGTGCTGATCAAACAATCCAACATGATCACATAGTCTGTAATATATGAAGCATAAGGATAATGATACTGTTCTAAAGCTATCATATTCCTGAACAAAATCTCAGTCTTATCTTCCACTAAAATCTTTGGAACCTCAAGAACACACTTGAAAATTTTCAAGTCAAGTAAACACTTGCTTTTGCTTACCTTCAACTTCACTCCTGCTTCTTGTAACTCACTCGCACTGTACAAAAGAATTTGATCTCTAGCCTCTAGAGATGAATGTCTTGTACTTGTAGGACCTGTTCTTGGTAAGTGAAAGTATCTGATAAGATCTGTGAAGTGCTTTATCTCAATAGTAGAATTACTATCAGGCTTTAACTTTTGCAAGTTAAAGTATTCAAAGAAGTTATATGTGAGCTTAAGAAATGGTTTAATACTGTCACAAAGATTCACAGGAAATGCTTTATCATATAAATCTTCAAGGAAAAAGAATGGAAGTTGATTCTCAAGTAAAATCAAATCCATCCTTTTAGCTACGCTCAACCATGGTTGTGATAACTTAGCATCATTATTGCACATCAAATGATCTTCATAGAAGCTTTTGAAGAGCTCAATTATGAAACCAGCATCAACTAACATGAGTTTCAAAAGTTCCTTCTTGTTGAGTTTGATGTTTTCCGAGTACAAAGCTCGAACTTTTGGCTCTAAATGTCTCGCAAAACTAACCAGATCATTCAAGCTTGTCTTAGCTTGTTGTGTGAATCTTTTGAACAAGATCTGTTTGTGAATTTCCATGTCAAACAACCTCACGTCATCATGATGAAAAGGGCCAATAGAAACAGCTTTTGGAGTGTAAGCTGCTTCTTCTAAGTGACGAATTGTATGAGGAACCCTATAGATACAACATGTAGGTGAGAAGAGACCATTTTCACTGTGTTGAATCATTTCTTCGATGTCCATGATCACCTCAGCTTCCATCTATATTTGTAAATTCCGTAAGCATATATATAGTAATAACTGATAGGTAATGTCTGAGTCTATAACTGAAACTAAACTAAATAAGGCTAGAAAGAGTAAAAACATGTTAATGAAGCTTTATCATATGCGCGCGCGCGCACAAATATAACTATAAAAGGAGATGAGAGTCCATGATATGCGTACTTGTTCAAAATGATTGGAGGATGAATCTGTAGAATGAGATGTGAGAGGAAGATGCTGCATTTCTTCAGAAATCTCACTGGCCAAGTTTCTCTGCTTCACACACGTAAACGGCAATATTTTCCTTGAAAAGAGTCTGTCTTCAATGTGAAGACTAAACAGCCTGACTATATACATGTATATGTTTATGCTTGGAAAGGACTGAACATTTGATAAAGAACAGGATAAATGCTTTGTTCAATTATATTCTCAATTCATTTCAAATTGGACTTTGAATCTTGTTCTGCAAAAACTACCTGGTTTTGATTCTAAGTAAGATTGATCTAGTTGGTAAAGATTTAACCCATAATCCACAATTTTATGGATTAATTGATCAAATCTTGTTATTGATATAAGGACCTTGTTGGTGAGTAGTTTATAAATACTTATATAAGTGATCTTTGAGCTCAATGTCATAACTTAGTCCTGGTGAATTTCAGAATCCAACTCACTTAAACTTTATTTAATAAAAAAAAGAAAAAATCTACCTTGCCGGGTTACTTTTTTTAAAGTCTCAAGGTTTCAACATATAAGCAACCTTTTTATAATTAATTATAATTTCCCATGAATTTTAACCTGATTTTTTTAAGGGAAAAATTTACATACTTAAACTTAAGATGCTTTGTTTTCAACGAAATTAAGACATATAAATTCTTTATATATACATATATATTATTTATTTTATAACAAACTTTTATTATTAATAATATTAATATATTAATAATTCACGTGTTTTTTTATTTGCTTAGATAAAAGTACATTAAATATATAAAATTAATTACCTAAGTTTTACCATTTTTATGTGTGTGTGTGTGTGAAGTAAGAATCTGTGACTTATATTTCGGATTGAAAGTAATAAAAAAAATAAAATGGTAAGCAGCAAAGGAAATTTGGTGCTGAAACTCAACAAAAGAAATTTTCTTACTCCTATAGGTCAAAGCTCAAGTTGTTCACACACATGACATTTCTGAAATTTGGTACTTGAAGGTCTAACCATGTTTTATCATTTTCCTCTTCTGTTTACATCAGTGTTGAACTCTGAACATTTTATTTTGTGTTTCGTTTTCTTTGTTAATATAATTGTTTTTTTCCTTTAAAAAAAAACAAGAAGAAACGATGTAATGGCGTCATGTCATCTTTATATCAACTCTACTTTCATTGAGAATGTTGTAGAATCAATTAGCTTCTGGGAGCTTTTCTTTTTGTTCTCAACATCATTATATTGTTTCCTTTTCCTTATTCGGCTAACAAATCAACAAATGTCTAACACTTATTTCCCACAATATTATCCAAGAAAGGCATCAAATTCCCACTATGTTGGATTTATCCACTTGTGAATTAAAGGATAAATCAT